TTGAGAAACTCTCTGTTGGAAAACAGAAAACAAAGATTTAAAATATGACAAAATTTTCAAACATGAGGCTGCTAAATTATGCAATCACAGAATAACTTCTGGCTGTGAAGGTCTTTTCTGAAATAACTGTAGTCACACACTATATTGCCCCTTAGTATACTGCTGCCCCCACTGCCTTGAAAACATATAATTGATCCCATATATTTAAAGAATTATGTTTCTATTAATTTCCCATGGCTACTTTAATTATTTTACTTAATTTTAGTTCATGACTAATGTGGAGCAACTATAATGTGATGTCACATCATAAAATACTCTATTTTTGTGTCTTTATGCACTTGCATGACATAATCTTAATGGAACACCCCTAACTGTAAAGTTTCATCACTTGTAGCACAGGTAACCTTCATGGTTGCCATGGTCACATTATCTGGATCTAAAACCTACCCTCCATGTTGCAATATAAACTGCTCCATTAACTCCATAAATACTTGCTTTTAAGTCCAACTGCACAGACCCAGATTTGACATCACATAATGCACCAGCAGATTTGCGGTCTGTGCTGTTTTAAGCAATCTGTAGAACAAACAACATAAACACTCATCTGCAGGATCTTTGTTGTTTGCAACTACAAGAAAAATTGGCTTTTAAATAATCAGTAATCAAATCATACAATTGGAACAAGTCTGGAATATCTCCTTTATGATGATATATGCTGGAAGTAGCTGAGCATGATGCTGAATAAAAGTCAGCTTTCAAGCCACTCAAGTGTGTCACCTTGTAATCATTTGTACAAGATGAATGGACTTTGTCAATATGATTTTTTCTAACACAACTGCTCACACTAATGAATTCTCAATTTAAAGAAAGGAATGGCCATCAATTATTCATGACTGTTGAATATTAAAGTAACCTGTATCAGGAAAGTACCATTTTGTATTGATTCATTTCTTGTATCTTAGTTTGACCATTATGGCAAAATTATTGAGACACTGATGAATCCTTTCTTTTTTATGTTGACCTTTGACCTTATTACTCCAAAACAGATAGGTTTCTACCTAACTCTAAGTGTAAGCTATCCACAAGGTCTGGTGAAGGTATGCTCTGGTGGTTGCATAAAAATGACTTGAGAAATTTTCTCAAATTTATTTAAATTCTCAATAATCACCCCGAAATAATACAACACTAAACTGCTTGATATTATGACTATATTTTAATATGTAATGCCTGCTTAATTTTCACAAAAAAAAAAACTAAAAAATCCATTCCAGGCAGCAAGAAAGATATTTAAAAATTAAACTGATGGAAGAAAATTCCAAGATGTTTAATGAAACTGGGTCTTGATATTAGTAATTCAATGATATGTTTTTTTAAGAACACCTCAACCTATGTTCATGAATAATTTTACAGGTTTTAATGTATGCTGAATCTGTGAACAATTTCTTAAAACATAACTTTGTACAGTTATCCTTGATTATAATGTGGTAATTGGGATACTGAACTATCAACCATGGCTTGTATCAAACAAATGATAAAGAAAATGATGAAAAATTTCTCAATCTATAGTTGTTGTTGTTGTTGTTGCTGTTGTTCTGGGGCTTAACGCCATTTTTCAGCACAGGATAGGCTATACATGGTGGCCAGTTTTAATGGTGGAGGAAGAAACCAGGAAATCCGCAGAAAGAACCACTGACCCACAAGAAGCTACTGGCAAGCTTTCTCACATATCTACATTTGCCGAATCTTAGACTTGAACCCATACAGACGTAGGTGAGATGACAGTGATCCTTAACGGAGAGCACTTTAGACCACTCGGCCACTCAGGGCCCCTCAATCTATAGTAGGAATTTCAGTTTATGTCAATTAAATTTTTTTTCACTTCATGGTAATTATACATATATTTGTGTTAAACAATTATGTTTTAAAAAGGAAATAAAGATACAATGCTAAGCTACACATTGTTTCCTTTCAAAATAAATAGTCATACATTTGACAGATCTTTCATGTAAAATGGTTTAATTTGGTCACAGGGTTCTGTTACGAATATTTATCTAAAATTGTATTTTGTAACTGACCCTGTCCAAAATCAGTGACAATTTTTACACAACATTGTTGATCTTTATTTCTGACTGAAGAATGAATATTAGGATTATAATTTTGGTCCGAATCAGGGACATTGTGTTTATCACTATTATATTTTCTATAAACACCTCCTAATAAAAACGGATATTGTAGCTTGTAAACATTTGGAACCTTCCATACTAAAATTTTCTATCAAACAATAGTTTGGTCTTTTCATTTATAGAAAATGCCAATTGTGACCTAGGCCAAGCAGAGGTGTATATAATCTTATTACTGGAAAAATTATTTATTCCTGCAGTAATGTATGAAACTGAAGACAGTTTTATTGGTGTGTCCAGTATTTTATCTGGACTAGAAGTTATTTATTCAAATTATTTAGTCATGGGAAATACAAAGTGCTCATCTAATATAATATTTATAGAAATAAATGCTTGGATTTATAGTGAAATTCAAATAAGAATATATTTTGGGATATTATTGCAATTCATCAAAAGACTATTGGCACATCATTACTATCCAGCCATCAGAGACACATCAGCACTTTCAAACTTGTATTTATTGCTGGAATACCAGTTTATTAAGAACTTGATTTATCAGGATTTGTGTTAGAAATTCTAGGATTATTTGGAATTTAATCAACAATACTGTCAGTTATTTTTTTAATACATTTTCTCTCTGTATTTTATAGAAATAAATAATTTGTTGAATTTTACAAAACTTTGTTGCTTTTTATTCTTGTTATTTTGTTCAAGACCAAAGTCATAACAGTCCTAAGTGGCATGTATTATTATGAAGGGCATTATAACAAGGGAAAACTGCATTTTCCAATCTTCTAAATCATGTCCTTATTGTGTAATGTCCTTATTTTCATAAATGTATACCTCTCAACATCTTTAACTATTAACTTATTTCAAACATGATGAAATAATTAATTTTGTCTGCCTGAATGTATTGTCATTTTTTTAACTAATAATTTATGCTTCTTTGATTCTTTACATGCTATGGTTGTATGTTCTAAGGACTGTTCTTCGAAAATTATAAGTCAATGGTGATTTGCAAATATCCCTTTTTCAGGTGTAACTTGGACATAATAATTAACAAGGTTATATGGAAACTTATTAATGAGGAATATACAGTATTATTATAATTTTAAATCGAATATCTATTTGTTTTGCTTACTATAGGTATGTCAAAACCAAAGCCCAATCTTTTACATCAGTTTACGGCTTGGTGCCATGTTGGCAATCCTTTTGAAAATATGCATTTTAAGTAATACTCATAATTAGTGATACAAAAGACCTGTTCATGTTCATGCAGCCCACCATATTAAGTGTTTTATGTTTTTTCCCTCAGCACAGATGGAATGCCCCAGGAAAAAGGCATATGGAGTTTCAGAGAACATTAGGTCCAAATTATGTATGAATATATATGGTACTAATCCAAATTTAAAAAAAAAATTAAATATAACACAAAATTCCCAAATTTTAGTCAAGATTTGTTTTGTCAAGTTATCAAACTTTTAATCATAAAAAAATTGAGAGGCCTAGAGCATACTATAAATCACTACAAAAAAAAATTAATGCTTCTTAAAGTTTAAATTTTGCATTTAACTTTGTCTTCACTCATACCCATCATCGTCATTTTTTTTGCTGCCTTAAACTTACATTAGGAGTGGTTCTTTCAATCCTTCCTTTCCAGATATATCTAGTGAAACAAGTTTAGGTAGACAATGTGTACGACTAAGCAAGTCAGAAATCTTGAATTTAGAAGGATGGAGGTTGATCACAGACTGAACACTCTGATACGTGTCATCGGACGCATCTAAATGCACCAATTTTGTGAGCTCACACAATACAGATACAATATCACAGGTATGAGCTGCACGCAGCTGATACATAGACAGGTACTTTAATCTCTCCTTGCATTTTCGAAGGGGTAAAATGTCATCAATAGCAGTACTAGAAATGTCCAAGCTTTCTAGGCATGGCAAATCTTCTGCAATTATTTCCAGTCCATGCTTGTTGAATTCAGTGTTACTAACATTTAAACTCTGAAGACTTCGAAGTTTTGAAAGAGATACAACTACACAGAACTTTGTACTGTTCACAAAAGTGCTGTTTGAAACATTAAGAGTTCTCAAATTGGACAATGTCCACTCACCCAGGCAACCTATAACATCATTAACAGTCACACTTTTTAACCCTGTAATTTCTAACTCTGAAATCTTGTGAGTCTTCAATATTCTTAAACCTTTAGTTGAAAGCTGCGCATCCTTTATAAAGACCCGTTTTAAATTCATTACATTAGGGTCGAATAGTGAAAGAGTTTCATCAGTAAGTTTCCCCTTTTCACAAAAGGTCCGAAGAAGTTCCTCAGATATGTTGCCATGAAAGAAGACATCTGAGTCCTTAAAGGTAAGTTTGGTCTGGATGGAATCTGGCTGCTGGAATGCATCACAGAGTGTAGCCAAGTTGTCACATATGAAGTCCAAGCAGCATTCCTGAAGGCTCATGGGCATGTCATACATGATGACTCTTCTAATATGCACTTCCTTCTAGCTTATGGTCATGGAAGAATCAATCAAATCTGCAAATTGAAAATATACTGTGTTAGAATTTAACTTTGTTTTAAATACCATATATACTCACATATAAATCAAGTCAAACTCCAAACAACAAAAAAATCCTAACCTGCCATACAATAATGCACCTGCAGATAAGGGTCTACGTTGATTGTTCTACTGATTACTCCTAATAAACTCCTGAGGCCGAGATCTGACTGTGCATATTACTATGATGTCTGCATGTGTCTATCAATGGGGCATCATGCCATAGACATGTGGCATCATGTCTCACCCAGTGACATTATCCTCATAATGCTAAGGCTACTGCTAGTACTGTTTTTATAAGTCTCTGGTATGACTCAGCTGGGGTTTGAACATGCAACCTCCCACATCTGAGGTGAACGCTCTGACCACTAGGCCACCGAAGCAGTCATGTGCAAATAAGTATGAAGGAATTTCCTGAAAACCAAGAGTGTGGTTTAAAAGACTAATTTTAACAGAATAACAAAGTGATTAGGTAAGATACATTTCAGAAGAGGACATCTCAACCAGTTCTGTTGGATGTTATAATTCTCACTAATCATGAATGTTAAAGTATCACACAATGAGCTATGTAACACCGAATATGACATGGTTTTCTGGAATAGTTTCTACAATGGGTCAAACAGGCGATGTGTTGGGAATGAGTCAATGTTTAGTTATACAATTACGTATTGTAACACCCCATGTGTTAAATATCGAAAAGACCAGAGTTCAGGACTTAAAAATGATTTTTATAAATATAAATATAAGTGAGAGAGAACGTGCTATTCAATCTTGCATAGTGACTTGGCTAACATAGTGTCTATCACAACACTATTAATTTCAGATAATATAGAGCAGACTTGTTTGTCTAAATGCCATAAGACAACGTTATAATACACTATATCATGATGAAATAAATTATGTTATTATAACGGATGTAACACAGTCTGGCATAGTAGCGTGAATTAAATGAAAATAAATAATTTTAGTACATAGCAGTGTGGTGGGAGATAGCAGCGGCTTTATAAAAAATTATATGATAATTCTAAGGCATTTAAATTCAATAATAAATCTACTTAAAATTTCTCCTAACAATGCTATTAAGTTTTGGGGTTATGCAAAAATTATATAAATTATGGTTTTAGAATATGTGGCCGAAATCATTTTCTATCTAGATGTTCATACTTTGCCACTCTGACAGCTATCTGCCAGTGCACTATTGTGCACTCATATTTATAGCCACCTATTTATGTCACATGACCTTAGCTAGCCAATCATTGTTTGTCCTTCTCAGGGCTAGCTATGGCGGTAACCATGTCAACTGTTCAAACTGCATGGAAAACTTCCTCTGAACATGAAATTTAGATTGAGCTAAGTTGTCCTCTCAATGTCCGTTGTGTGCGTTTTTATTTTTAACCCTATTTGTGTATTCATACCTTCAATTACTTTGAACTGAACAAAACGGCCAAGTGAATTTCGATGTGAATCGAGCGAGAGTACAACGTACTGGTAATGCATTTAGTTGTAATATGGTTAGAAATAGTCCCTGATAAGTGGATTCTATTTCTGCACATTAAAATTCTATTTCTGCACATTAAAGTAACATAACAAGTTCTACACGATCAAGAACTTATGATAATAACAACAACATCAGTTCTAACTTATTGTTCAACAAAAGTCTGACAAGTGAAATGTGATTCTTCGACTGGCACATTGATTCCATCCCTATCTTGCATATCCGCTGTTCCAGTAACAAAACTCACCGGGTGGTTGAAGTCACACCTTTATGGACTAGCATCATATTTCTGGCTTTGATATTCCAAAACCATGGAAGGTAAGATAATTCCCTAAACAATTCATGTAAAATTCCAACACGACACATGCACGGTCCAACATGGAAATGATTTGGGCACAATGACTATTAACATGTGAACTTCTTCCCACTTAATGTTGATGTCCCATGGCTTTTAGCACTATTTTTTGTCTTCTAGATGAATTTCTTGATGCATTCATTAATACTTGTAATGAAAGCATGACATTACGATGACCAGAGCAAGGTTTTATACTCACATTTAGTATAAAACTCACAGCACACATTTATAAGATATGCAGACGGCAATCTAAACAATGGTGGGTGGGTGGCACACGTTCAGGAAGGACACATATGGTAGACGTTTTCAGTGACATAAAATCGACATGATCAAATATGCTATAGTCTTGTAGGTCAAACATCATCTCACCTCTCAACGATTAACATCATATAATCTTTCACACATTAACTGGAAATTGTTTATGCATGCAGAACTCATTTCACAATACCATTAAGGTATTATAACATACTGAACTGCATCATGCTTTTTAGGTATTATTTCATGTTTTTACTTTAGCATTATTATCATTGTTATAAAATGGAATGTAGTTCTTAATAGTGCTCAGTACTTTATTTTTGTTGAATTTGGTATTACACCCTTCCCACCTTAACTTGTGAACCTCCGGGTCACAGACTCTTTTATTTGCTTATGATTTTGAAAACTAATTCTCCAGTCTTTGGCTGACTCCTGCTTTTTTGATTAAACTGATCAGGAAGTCAGTAGATGTTTCCCTCCTGTCCGCTGATGCTTCGTATAATTTTAGTATTCTCTCTACCATCGAGTCTTCCATGAATGAATTGCCAATAGCGACTGATCTTAAAATCTCATAATTATAATAACTTGCCTTCCTGTAAATCAAATCTTGTTCAGTTGTCATTGGGACCGACGTGCCAGGAAGGGCCAACATATTAAATTTGTCCAGCAGGACTCCTCTATTCAGGGATGAAAATAGTGGCTTTTCAATTGAATTCTCCAGCAGCATGGAGGCGTACTCCTACTGGAGCAACTTCTGATCAGAGTTCATCCGTTTCCAACCAAGGCCAAGGTAACACGCTCGATCCTATTGGTATCTGGATGGCTGTATCCTCTTGCCACTCCCGTCTTGCTGGTGGGAATAAGGGCATACAGCCCCACTCTAATAGGTTGGCTGCTCTAGTTTATGATGCCGATACAGGTGGAGGTGATGCCATATAGAGATTGCTTGGAATGACTTGTTTATCCCTCTTCACGGACAGGTCTAAAACGTTCTTATCTTGCAGAGGTATACAGCTCCTTTGTTCAGGTGACTGGAGAGCTGATGTTACTGGAATTGAAGGTCCTACAATAGCAGGAGTCGCTGACGGGGATGGACTAGTTGGTACTCTTACAGGTGCTATTGAACATGGAGAGACTACGTCCGACGGATTGGAAGATGAAGGATTTTCAATTGGTTCTGGAAATCTTCGCTTTCTTTACTGACACCACAGATGCTGTAGACGATACCTTTCTCTTGCAGCCCACTCCAAAAGTGGGTGGCAAGAATCTCAATATGGTTTCTAAACTTCCCTTTGAAACCCCAAGGAATGTGATAATTTCTTGTTTGATATCCGCTGAAGTTTCTTGACTCCCTCCTCCTTCTGGGAATGGTAGACAATCTCCCGGTGCAATCGCCATCATCTTCCTCACCAGGCTGCAGGCATCCCTTTCATCTTTACACTGGAGATCAACCTTATACCACACTTGATTTACTTTATCGAAAATGTCCACAACTGACTTTGAAAGATCCATTTTAATATGATGGATAGTAAGTTCCCTTTTTATCCCTGGTTTTGATGGCAAATAGGGAGGCACATTCATGCCATTGACCTCATCATCATAATCTGGCACAAATGCCTTCTCAGATGTATTCAGCTTATATTTATCTTGAACATGCAGGAAAGGAGCTTCAAGGGATCGCCTGGCTCTAGAGCTATATATAAATTCCCATCCTCTCTGCCACTCAATCCTGGAACAAGAGGTATTTGGGCACTTCCCCACCTAAATTAGCAATCTTACTCTGGCTTGCACAGCCGCGCTGCTCTCCTTCGGGGTAGCACCAACAATTTGGTTGTAGTCCTTCGGGTGAAGGGCCATCCAAAAACCATTTCCTTCTCCAAAGAAGTCTGTAGGTACGTCATCTACTACTTTAGGGTGTAATTGCATGACATGCTGTTTTAAGTCCACCATCCTGCGAAAGACCTTTTCTTCATCTGTACACCAGATGCAGACAACACGTAGCCTCGAATGTGGGACAGCAGCTAGATGATTCTTCAACTCCCGCCTCCTGACGAATTCCGCTGGACACACTTTGCAACTGCTTTAGAGAACATTCTGAAATTTTAAAACCATTTAATTAACTGTCAAGGTACATCATTATGCTACCAGCTCGGTCATCCGCATTCTCAGGTCTCTATCATCATTTGAAGTAAAGAAAAATGTCATATATTTAAATAAATAAGTTCTTATTCTGATAACATCATTCTTGTCTATCTACCGCAAAAATTATTTAAAACGCTGCATTTTCCAACCACAGACTGCAACTTGAAAAGCAGAACGCCCAACACTAATTTTTTTACGTGAAAAGTTATCATATTCTATCTCTGCATCGGCTGAGTTATTGCAGCTCAATATATTCCATCTGTAGGACCTCATTACAACGTTAACTGAAGTAATTGGACATTTCACCATGCAGGTTACTCTCGTTGTACTTATTTTACAACCAGGGAGGACAGGGATCCAGTGATTTGGCGCACAGGTTGTCCAGACCAAGCCCAAATCGAACAATCATTGGTAGCGCTACCTTCCAACGCTGACTCCTCAGAGTCAAACTAAATAGATATCCCCCTGCCTGCACGAAGCCGTCCACCATCATGTAATCATCTCCTACTCTTGGAACTTCTCTAGCTGCCCTCTCAATGTCTCGCTTTTAACTCTTCATACTCGTCAATAATGGAAATAATTTCAACACGCGCCTGGTTTCCGCTACTCACTTTGCGATACATCTACTTCTGTGGATAGAACCAAACTGGCATCTTCTTTCCTCTATACTGCAATAGACGGTCAACGTGATAAGCTTTTGCTGGCTGTTTCTTCGATTTCTTAACTAAATAGGTCAAGTCATCTAGCCTCTTGGTAATCAAATATGGTCCTTTCCATTTTGGAACAAACTTTTGATAGACTCCTATTTTTCTTAGTGGATTGTGCAGCCAAACTGTCTGTCCAACTTCAAATGATCTCTTCTTTGCCTTTATATCATAGTATTTCTTCTGGTATTAGGAACTGACTTTAAGATGAGTACGAGCGATGTTGTGTGATGCCTTCAACTTCAACTGAAGATTTTTGACATAATCTGCATTTTCAACTTTATTTATGTCCAGATTGTTCCACTCCATTGGAGTACCTATTACTGCATTCATTGGTAAAGTAATTTCTCTTCCCAAGGTCATCATGTTTGGTGTAAATCCAGTACTGGCATTAACTAATGACCTATAGGCCATCTTTACTTGTTGCAGATAGTCA